AGTGGCTAATATTATAACAATCAATAATTAACATATTTGTTAATGATGATACACAGAGGACAAACAAACAGGGGAAAAAAATAGATTAATTGAAATTATAAATTATTTTAATTGTGAAGTAATAGAAAGTAAGATGAAGCTGTCATTTACCGTAAGTTCTTCTATTTTTTTTCAGGCCTCGAAATGAATCTGGTGTGAAATTATGTATGGTATAAATATATTATAATGAAATCTCTATACAATTCGTAGATACATACTCCCAATTTCAAGTCAAATGTGATCCTGTTCATGACACATGCCGAGACACGGTAAAATAATAGCGAAATCATCTGGACACCCGGGTATTCATCACGACGTAGAGTAAGGCCTGGGATACACCTAAACTGTTAGCGGCCAAAATATACTCGGCCGACGTCGAACGATGGCGATTGTAGTAGGGTACACACTATCTTTCTTTTATATACGTTTTATTTTGATCGGCCGTGTTTGGCCGATGACGGCCGAGCATAGTTAGGCCGATAACGGATTAGGTATATTCGAAGCCTAAGATTGGGTGACCCCTGTCGCTTGCATGAATTTTTTTTTTTATTACAAGTTATGGAGTATTGGAGAACAGGTTGCTTATATAAATAGACGTTAATCCTAAAATAAAACTAATATTATAAATGTAAAAATGAGTTTCTTCGTTACGCTTTCACGCCTACGTAGGAAATGGAATGGATTTTACAAAAAAAAAAATAATATCGACCTTGGTAAAGACTGGATTACATTCTTTCCTTAAAATAAAAGTTAAAGGGGGTAAAATTTAAGAGGATTTTTTTATGGGAAACTAATTGCACGATTAACTACGCACACGAAGTCTTAAGTATCGGATGGTATATAATGTTTAACTCCTAAACCAGACTTATGATGAGCAATAGCTGCATTTCAAATTCAGTATTTGTTTATTGCGACTCGACGTTTAGTGGACTTTTTCACTTGCGACAACGAAATGCTAAAAGCTCCTTGAAAGTATACGAATATCGAGAACAATTTTAAGTATGTTCTGCTACTTAATAAAAATCTCACATTTACGACGAATAAAATGAACTTAAGCGTTCATTGATTGGCACTCACTACACTCCACCCACAGCCTAAGAAAAATGCCGTTGTACTCAGAAATAACTAATCCTTGTCGCATCAAAACTTTACCACTACGAAGTTTGCGCGTCGAAGCAACGTCCACATTTATCATCATCAATCTGTCTTACATTCGTATTCGATGCAATAATGGCTGCTAAACATATATCGAGTCGAGCACTTGAGCCCTTTCGCTTAGCTGCCGAATTCCGCCCTCTTTTATTACTTGTTAAAAGCTTACCACAATGAGGGTTGAAGTTTAGTATCAATCTTGAATGCCATTATTCTTTAAGAGTTATCTATGTTTAATAGCTGCATAGTAATACATTAAGGAGGAGCTCGATGACGCTAATGGTTAGCGCGTTCGATCTGCGGTAGGTCTTGGTAAGCAACTTTTACAATTATCATCTTAGGATGGGTGAGCAAAAACTAATTATCTGAAACAACGACGGTGCTCAGTGTTCAGATGGCACGTTTAGCTGTTGGTCCCAGCTGCGTCCGCGCTTGTTAGTACCCACCAATCCACACTGGGCCTCGTAGTGTGTCACGGTCTCCACTCGGCCACGGAGGCCGTCGTACTTTTAAACATAGACAATACGTTTCTTGTAAGAGGAACCCTTTGAACTTTTTGTTTTTAATGATATTTTTACTATTTTCTATAAAAAAATTAACTAACTGTAGGTAGCGGTGAACTTTTTGAGCAACGTCCATAGACAAGGAAGCCTGCGTTGTAGTAGTTTTTCATACAAAAACGTCTACTGCACAAGTTTATTTGTCTGTGATTCTAAAAACAAGTATGGAACGCTATTTATACGTGTAAAATTTGGCTTGCCCAGTTTTTTATTATTATTTATCTCTTGCCCTTTTCCTAAAGGCACTATAGCTAAAGACAATAAAATCGCCGTACTGTGTGTTATATAATATTGTCAACGTCAGCCTTTCTTCCACTGCTGGGTCATGGGCCTTCTCTGTGGATGGAATACGGAAAATACGCCGGGTTTCATGGTGTCGCCGGCTCGAGAGGTCCCGGTTTCGAATTCTGGTGGGGGCAGATGGATCATGGATGTTTAATGTGTATTTCTATATTAATATATTTTATATGTACAGTATATGTATTCTATCCGTTACCCTGGTATCCCATAACACAAGCCTTACAGTGCTTACTTCGGGGCTAGGCTAATTGGTGTGAGTGTTGAAAATATTTATTTATTTACTTATTTAGAACTGAAATAAATAAAACACCAAAATATTTTTTAAATATATTTTATTTCGACTAGAAACTTGTAATTACTATACCAAATACCAGCTTCGGTATTACTACCCTTAGAGGGTTTATTTAGATGATATGATAACATTAAGACAATAGATAATCATTATTTACAACATAGAAACAATACTGCTATGTAATTATTATATTAAGATTACACTAACACATTTTCACATTCAGTTCAATTGAAAATAAACAATAGGAATCACAGCACTTCAATCTTTAAAAAAAATATGTTAATTTCAATGCGAATTGGTAAGCTAATAAAAGTTAAATATATTTGATGACTTAAATTCATTTTACATATATTGGTGGGATATGCTATAACTTCCATCCGAAAGTAAACCTTTTGAATTAATGGTAGGTTTTTCTACAATTTAAATTTTTAAAGTTTTAGTTTTAGTTTGGTTCTCGGTACCAGTATAGTATTTCATTATTAACAATATTAAGCCACGTGTTCACTAGGCAACATTTAATACACGACATAATTATTTTTCAGAGCCATCGACTAGTCGCCAGCTAGAAACTAGTATTAATTTCTGTAACTGCCACATCACGTTCCACCTGACAACATTGATTTGATACTGAACTGATAAGTTTCCTACACCCAATCTTATTATGAGCTAAAATATGCCCTGAATAGATGACAGAAAAAATATTTGAACACCCAAAATAATGAATTATATTTTCGGTTTTTTTTAAAGATAGGTCGAACAAATGACTCCGCCCACCTGATGTTAAGTGACGGTGAAGTCCAGATGTGAGGATAGCTGGTACAGCAGTTCTACCTGCCATACCAGCCTTTCCTTATTTGCATTCATTAATTCAACTGCTGAACTGCTGGACTTAAACTAAAAACTTTGAATTAAAAACATACGGAGCGTCTTTTTGTACGCGAGCAGCTAGGCTCTGTTGTGTAATCCAGCCGAACATGGACCTCGTTAAGTGGTTAATTGATGCCTAGTGAGCACGAAGCTAAAGGCAGTGACTTTCACTTAAGTTCGACTGATATGTGATTAAATTCAACGGGCTAATGTGAACGGATGAAACAATAACCTGTAAAACTATTAACATTAATGCATATTCCACATATATAAGTACTTATTTTATCAACAACTAATGTTCAATGGCAAACAGGGTTTACAACAACAATCTACAATTGATCTGAATTATTTTTTTATTGGTTTCATACCTGAATTCAGTGTCTATACGAATATTTCAAGTACTTAGCAGAATAAACAAAAGTTATAATATTTCGTGACAGATACACACATAGAAGTTTCTGTAATATCAGTTTTCTTATTTTTATTTATTATGATATGTACTTAGATAAATTTATTTTAAACACACAATATTTTTGGTATGCTTTACTATAATAGTAACATGTCAATAATTTTAACTAGTTGATGTTGATTTTAAAGGTAAAAATTCAATCACTCATACAGTCTTCATTCAACTTTTTTACTTTCTTACACTAATGCCTAACTATACTAATATTATAAAGGGGAAAGATTTGATTGTTTGTTTGTTTGTTTGTACTGAATAGGCTCCGAAACTACTGGACCGATTTGTGAAATTCTTTCACGTTTAGAATCCTACATTATCCCTGACGAACATAGGATATAGAGATTTTCACAAAAGTTTGGGGTTCCGTATGAAAACTTCGATAACATAACCCAGGGTGGGAAAAACATACTAAAACATAACCTTATATGGCTTACGCTGCGGAAGTCATTGACAGTTAGCAAAGTGGTGTTCTAAAGTATTATAGAGGACATCAATATTTACAAAAAATCCGCGAAACCGTGTCTAACTATTACATTTTTGTCTCAAGTTTCACCCGTGATAATTTGAGGAAAAAGGTTATAGTTAGCCTAACTTAAAAGATGGGCATATGCTGTCGCGGACTTTTTTTTATAGAACTTTTGATGTGGAATAATTCTGCCATACATGATGTTTGTGCAACTTTAATCTTTTAAGTAGAGCACGCAACAGAAGCTCACAAATGGAATATTTTAACCCGTTTTTGTAATATTTTACATCGATGTTCCGCTCTTACTCATCGTAGCCAAATGTTATATAGCTTTAAGCCTTGCTTAATAAATGCACTATTTAACACAAAAAGATTTTTTCAAATCGGACCATTAGTTCCTGAGATTTGCGCGTTCAACCAAAAAATGATGCATTCGGTACAACGGGTACTACTACAACTGCGCAACAAAATTTTCATCATCATCAGCCTATTAATGTCCCCACTGCTGGGGCACAGGCCTTACCTATGGATAAAATAGCGAGTTTGGGATAAGACCCACCACGCGGGCCCAGTGAGGATTGGTGGGTGCTAATGGCTGCAAATGCAGCCGTACCAACGGCTAAACGTTCCTTCCGAAGCACGGAGGAGCTCGAGATGGTAAATTTTTGATCACCCATCCAATGACTGACCACTGCGAAAGTTGTTTCACTTCAACGATCGCAGCCGAATGCGCTAACTACTTGCACTGTCGAGCTCCTCTGCCAAATTTTCACTATCAGTTAAATAAAATTTCATGGAAGGTTTATAATTATATCAAAGAAATTCATTGTGTATAATACAAGCCTGAGAACAAAAACTACAGCTCTACACCGAAGCGAAGCGAGGACGGGCCACTAGTAAAATATAAAAATATTTTTATTTTAATCAATTACGTCTGATATAAGCTGTAGTTTTAAAGTAGTGTAATTTTTTTTTACAGAATGTGTCACAATAATGTTTTCGAGAACTTCCAAATTTCTTGAATTGATTTAGAAAACTTTTTTCCTATACAGACATTGATTAACTTAGGAGTTTCTTAAAATTAATATGTAGCAGTTTATTAAATATAAATCTGATATAATATAATTGTGATGTCCTGAAATAGTAAAAGGTACATGCACAATTCCTGTATCAGGTTAACCCATAATGTTATTTTCTTGCATTCGCATAAATTAACGCACGAGGATTTTGACAATTCTGAAAAAAATACATTATGTGATTATGATTTTAAAATATCATTTTGTTTTTTTTAGGTAGTTCAAAATGTGTAACCAGCCATTTATAAATTCAATAGCATCAATTGAGAAACTAATTTTGAATCTTTGAACAGTTACTAAAACTACTTAGACTGATGTCCAACCTAAAAAAAAAATCAAATGGCATCTTAATAGGTCGTGAATATTGTGTAGGTATTTGTTACATTTAAAATCTGTTTAAAGTTTGTAAATACAGGTTTTAATATTTTCTATTCTCTTTTTATGAGAAAAAACTCGTGCTACAAGTTTTAAATAAGGTTTCAGGCTGCCAACCAGAATTGAGCTCTAAGACTATCTATAATAATTAATTTAATATCATATTAATATGTCTTTATTTGGAAAGCAGCGTCAATAATATAACCTACTACATAATTATCTGACTGCATTACTTCTAACAATTTACACATTTTATAAATACATAATTATGTAACTAATAAAAGTTCATTAGCGCTTTTCCCCATTAATAAATGTATAAGGCTAATTTTCTTATTAAGATAGCGAAAAAGCTTGCCATGCTTGCTTTGTCTATGCTTTCATCAGTTACCATTCAGGTATTTAGGTACTATTCAGAATATTCAGTGTAATGAAAATCTAAGTATGTTTGCCTTTAAGCATTTTTCAGGAGCTACTTTGCTACAAGTTAAGACATTTTAGTACCAGCGGACTCGACAAGATAAGTAAATTTGTCGAGTGTAAACAGTGATTTTTCTTCAATGCATACGACGGCCCATCCGTTAACGTAATAAGTAAATTAGCATAAATAACACTAGTGGAAATTCTACTTTATACACTTTGTAAATAAATATGTTCAATAAGTTAAAATTGAGTGCCGTAACTAAAGACAACGTTACATAAGGTTCGCGGGTCAAATTCGAAAAAGTAACGTGTACACTTGCACCGATTGAAGAACGTTGAGAAAGTGAAATAGGATTTGCTGCAAAAGCTACGTCAGATAACGAATAATATACATAGAAGTCCTTACACGCTAATTGAGATTTGAAGGGACATCAAAATAGTACAGGGCTTCTTAGGAGAACTGATATGGCGGGACTAAAGCCATCCTTATAATAGACACCGAGTATCAAATTACGGAAAATATCCGTCGTCAAGAAGCTACACAAGTTTATTACAATCATAAGTATATGGGAATCACATATCTTCATTTGTTCCTGTTCCCAGAATGAGAAATATGAGCAGACTGTAAACCAAAACTGCGAGAAGCAAATTGGTTTGCATACAACACATGAGGCAAATTATTTTTATTTCGACATAATATATATTTTCCTTAAACCATTACAGTTCATTTTCAAATAGCTATTTTGTTATTTTGTCTTATTTTCTAAGTGCGTAAGTAAAGACATATATTTGTTTGATATTCAATCAAGTGAAAATGGATTGCGATGAGAGAAATTTTGTTTGGGCTTGCCTTTTCCAGTGATTACAATTTCCGATAACCCCGTTGACGGATTCATTGGCAGAACCTACGTAATATTGTAAAGAGTAGAATTCTCATAGTCAATCAACAATTATTTTGATTTAATACGACAGCAAAGTGTGCTCTAAATTGATTGAGTGACAGGAAAATATATTATTATTCTTTGATTACTATTATTTCAGCGAGACATAGGTACAATTTCTATTTTTATAAATCCTTATACGGCTTACATCCTATCTTTAGAAAAATATCAGTTATTAGTAAGCTCATTGATGAATTCTGTTTCTTAATACTGGTTAAAAAGATAGATAGATAGATAAGTCGTTTATTTGTATGAATGGCACACATTTACAAAAAATTAAAAACAATAACAATCTGATAATAAAAACAAGTTAAAATCAAAGGGACCACCAAGGTATAAAGTGTGCCACAACGATACAAAATGTGAAGAGCATGGAAGATAAAAAAAAAGTCCAATTTTAAACTAAGGACACCCATCAACATAATAGACGGCCAACAAGTAATAAGAAGATAAGCATGATTCAAAACTCAGCTGTATTAATCACTTAACAAATACCGGGTGTGCGTCTCAGATCTCATCAAAGCTCCACAGATCCATCGTTCATTTGCTTCAGATAAATTCCATTGGTCAATCCCTCACGGATTCTGGATAATTGAGCGGCACAACCCGTGAGCGAATCCCGGGTGTAGTCGTGTGTGTAAATTTCATCTCGAACACACTCCATGGAAGAGAAATACTGCCGTAATAAAGTGGGTACCCTGTAGTGGTTTCTCGAAGTTATGGATCTTAGGTGCCCGGCTAGATTTATGCACTGCGCCACATTTTGCTAGTAAATATTTGAAGCATCAGTTATTTATGTTTGTGGCAGTTACATTGATACGGACATTGTTACATTTATAAACGCTATTAAGATAATTTAATATAATGTACATCTAAGTTCATGAATAGTCACGAAATAAATACTAGTAGTGCTATTCTGTACAGTACTGTACTGCTACCGTACTGTAGAACAATCTCATTTTCACCGCTTAGTTCGATTTGAAAGTCGTGTTCTAATTTAAATCACACCGCTGATTCCGAAATACAAAGTGAGTTTGTTTTTACAGAATAGCACTGCAGTTCCGAATGAGAATGTATGAAATTTTTGAAATCAGATTTTGGAGATATTATAAAGTAGTTTTTAGCAAGTCATCATTCTGTTACGTACCTAAGTATAAGAGATTTAATATTTCTGATTACTTTTAATATGTTTTTATACACCAGAAGGTAATTATTCCACATGTAATGCTACCATTAGGCTTACTTACAGCAACATTCTTAAATTAAATTTAAACAAATACATTGTTAAATCCTTAATTCCTGTACATTATCTTCAAATATTTGACTAAGATACAGCGAAGATATTCATGACTATTGAATAGTAACCAGTACTCTGGAATTTCCAACCTAAAACAGAAATCACTATCTAACTTGGTTTTTGTTTTATTTATGCTACATAGAATGTTCAAAGGTAAAAATCTACTCCGCAGCAAATTTTTGTCATACCTTCGGAAATGAGTGAGAATATTTCTTTGAAACTGTACACAACTCGCTGAAATAACTAATATTTACCTTATTCGGAAGGTAAATACGTATAGTACCAGTACTAGTTATATGTATATCATGTTAAGCATCTATGTATTCTATTTTGAATAAAGGAAGGTTTTTATTTAATAAACTTTGAAATATTAAACACCGTGTTGTCAACATGTGATACACAATAAGTATATTATGAGAGTGTTTTTGAGTTTTTTTACATCGCTCCATCGTCTTAAGCATTAAATTATTTCCTAATGTCCGAGACCGGGCTCCGGTCGCAGAATTCTGCACCCTTCTGTTTTTTTGATGAAACCTATTTTAAATTAATGATTAATGAGTATACATTGCATTAATCATGGGTTCAATTTAGTGACTTACATTTTATACATGATTCAACTTTTTTTGATAATTTTTACATCATAACAAAGGAAAATAATGAGGAGAATTTAATAAACACTGGTTGCCAACTCTGAATCAGTCGCAAAGTTGGGGTTGCCAGGCGTGAACAGGTGCATTACTGTTGATTTATCTACAGCCATCTGTTTTTTTATATTTACCTAAATTATTGGCAAAACTGACAGCGAAAATAAGGAATTATATCAACGTCGCATTAATTCTTGGTTATTTAAATGGTGGGTCTGAGGTTCACATGCTCATTTTATAGTAAGGCAAGTCATACTTGCGGTCACCTTTTAGCTGGCAACCTTGGATTAACATGTTCATCGCATATGAAACTTAAATTTAAATAAATATTAACAAAAAACAGATAGGTAGCGACTGATTGAGAGGTGGCAACCATTGTTTTTTTTAATTTTCTCAACATCATTCCCTTTCAAATGAAATAAATTTTATTAAAAACCATATGGATGCAATTATTATAAAAACAGTGGATGTCATTAAATTAAATTAAAAGGTATTTGCGTTAACGTTGCGCAGTAACGTTGGGTGTAGAATTTTGCGGCAGGATCTCCGGTTATAAGTTAAAAAGACGTGCCGCGTCATAATTTTAGTTTTGAGAAATCGATCATCTATACGTAAAACTAGATGAAGTGTAGAAATCTTTTTTCTGAAAAACACTCCCATTTAGACATTATTTTAGAATACTATTGAATAAGTAACAAATAAATCACTTTAAATAAGTCAGGCTTTCAAAAGTAAGCGTGTTAGATATAATATTAAAACCATTGTTTTTTTTCTATAAATGCAAGGAAGGTCAATAGAACTTAGTTCTATAAACCACAATATGAAAAACAATTTTAACGATATCTATCATATAATATAATATAATATTGGAATAACGATAATACTAAAATTATTTTGAACTCATTATAATCGTAGGTACTAAAATCACAACCCTTCGATAGCCAAAGCAAATCATCTTTAATCAAGTACACTAGAATAATACAAAGTTCATGCTTTTTAGAAAAACATTTTTAAAGGATAGTTGGGCAACATTTAGTCATAAAATAGTGTTTAAAGCTTAAGATATAGGAAATAAAATGAATACGGTTGGTATAAAATATTCAGTATTTATAGTCAGAGTTCATAGTTATTCTAATTCCTTTATTTAATTTATATATCTACCATTGATAGTGTTTAAACGACATTATTTACAATTAGATATTTACCGTTAGACCAAAATATTTACAAAAGTATCACAGGAATTTTTAACGTGATCAAAATGGAACAGGTTAATATTACTGACTAGAACATAAATATTTATATCGATTACATTTATTTGGTATTGATATTTTTAAGCATGCGTAAAATTCGTTCAGAAGTATCTATAACTATTCTTCAATAATACTACGATCATTTACATATAATTTACAGAACTACAAATTCGAGGATCTCTTTAAGACATCATTAGATATATTAAGTGTATTTAGTGTAGATCGATATGACTGAAATGTATCGTTTGTAGACATATAGAAATGCTTAAAATGTGACACTTGATATGACACAGTACGAATGGACCGTTGTGATAAAAAAAAAACGTCGAAATATAAATTACATACGTCAAGACTGACTATAATATATTAACTATACAAATACTACATTAACCACTGCCCTTGCTCGTCAGATAATTTTTAAAGCAGCAGCTATAATGAGCATGTCTCTAAGACTAATAATTGCTATTGGAGTATTGCTTCCACACAACATTCTTGGACTTCAAACCACGTCACTTTTATCAAGTAGCTCATTGTTGCTACCACCGTCTTCTTGTCAGATGTGATACTCTCTCAAAGGTCGTACGGACTCAGCAGAGGACCTAGGAGTTGGATCGACACCGGAGAGTCCTAAAGAACCGCTCCTACGGACTACTAAAGTTTTCGTTCCGTAGTCTGTGACAAAATTATCGTTCCTAGTGGGAGTGTTGGCTCTGACTGTTTGGTAGCCACAGCAAGGAGGGTATCTGGTTGTGAGTATTTTCTTGAAAGCCTCTCTGAATTCAGTGTTGAATATGGAATAGATGATCGGGTTGAACGCTGAGTTTGAGTAGCCGAGCCAGGTCAAGATTTTGAAGGCCAGATCTGCAACAAAGTTACTCCTCAGCTTACGCCTATATTTATCAATTTTAAGGTTTAATGACCTAAAATATTTTTTATTGAAATTGCAGTCTGCATAGTTTACTTTCAAAAGCTTCATAATTTATGACTACTTTATAAAGAAAGCATCAATAAAATTTCATTCCTTATAGCTATTTTACAAACAACAAGAAATATTTATTGATAGCTTAATTTAAAAAGATTGACATCGGACAGTCTTTGAACGAAAACTCTATAACAACATAATTGACAATCGGTCAAAACACCAAGCAAGCATAAAATTTAATTCGGGTCACAATTGAATCTATAACACAGGTCTATATAATTAAGGAAATACACTTCAACAAACTTAAATCAAATATTTATCTCTGAAAACTTTTCTGTTTTGAAAGGACTCTTTCTCCGATCGCTCTTTGAGTACTTTGATCAAAATCGCTATAGAAATTACTCCCAATTCTACTCAGCTTACATCTAAATAAGTTTTGCGGTTCACATCGAGTGTCAACAAGAATCACTGTGGGTTAATTACAAGTTTTCATTTGAGTTACCTTTCTTTGGGAGTCTTTCAATTATAGTTCTTGAAGTGTTTCTTTTCGCTAGTGATTATTTTACAGTTTCATTGCTAACAACCAAAACCTGATTATACCAAACATTTCTTGTAAAATGAAATTTAATAAGACAAAGCTTTTAATGTTTGATTCTATTTTCCCAAAGTTTGGTATTAATAATAAATCATGTTTTAAAAAGTTATTTTTTATCAACATGGTTAGCCTTTTCAGTGAAGGCTGTTAAAGAACCAAACCACTGTTAAAAAAATAGTTTTTCTTTTAAAAGATAATTTACTAATTTCTCATTATCTATATTGCCTTGGTGGTATAATAAAGTAAGTATCTAAAGCGTTTGTAATATAGAAGTGAGAAGAAACGAAGTTACAAAGTTGAGGATTATTTAACAGACAAATGTACATGGAATTAGATTAACTCTGCGCTAGCAATCCACTGGTTGTTATGATATTTAATATAGGTACTCATACAAATTGCTCACTATTATCATTTTAAAATTACATTTTGGTTTGTATAGATGCCGTCAATAAGTGCCTGTAAAGACTTATGTTGAATATTTTACCATTACCATCCTACCACTTAAAAAAAAACTCAGCAAAGGTTGATCCAATACGATGAAAGGTTAATCATGAGGCTGATGGTAACGGCGGTCTTATATTCTAACTATTGTATGGTATTATAAAAAAATATATTAAGATGACGAAATATCTCTTACCTGGTATACACGTCTTACAAAATGCAGCGACGATGTTGACAGAGAAGAATGGGACCCAGCACAGTAAGAACACGCCCATGATGATGCCGACTGTGATGGCGGCCTTATGATCGGACACGTGGTAAGGAGACGAGTGCACATGCGTATGGACCCGGGTTCGAACGGACTTGGTCCTGTTGTCTGGCATTTGTACCGTCCTAGTGACCGCCCGAATCGACTTCACGTGCTTCTGAGCGTAGCAATACAATCTATAGACAAAAATACTGAATTTTGATATGATGCAATATAGTAACACTTATAGAAGAATAGCATTGATAAAGTATGTTAAGGGCGTCATTAAGGTTTTTACAATGACAATAAATCGAGAGTGATATTTTTGGTATTGAAAATGTCTTAACTGATTTTTCATTATATATGCTGTGTGTTCGTTTGTTCCTTAGTAGTAACAGTAGGTCTAAGATTCAATATTTTAAGTCGTTGCTAAATTTGTTTGAAATTATCACATATTTTTAAGAAAGTATTGTATGCTATTATATTAAAATTTTATTGAGCTCAGATTGTTGTTTGAAACTTTAAATATAGTGGCAGATTGCCAAACCATCTTTCGAAATAGATTCTGATAATCCCTACATATTTACTACTGAATGATAAAATTCACATCTATCTATCTTACGTTTATTCCATCCATATATCCCATTACTGCAAGGAATAAAATATATAATTTTAAATAGTTTTATTGTAAAACTGGTTCTTGTGAACTGAATTCATATATTCATTCTAATTAAATTCTCAAGCAAATAATTTTGAAGCGACTTAAACATCATAATACTAAAGAGAGGCATTCTATAATTTCTGGGAAATCCCAAGGAATAAGCGTTTATAAGCATTCGACTGTTCAGTGAACAAGTTCGAGTTTATTTGGCACTCAGAGCACCCTTAATCGTGAACAAGGCTGGTGAACTTTTGATTATATCTTAACGAATTGAGTTTCCTGACTCAACCGACTTATAGACGATTTATGATTAATTGTCCCAAAATGAATTTATTCAAATGATAAGTATTCTTGAGAAAAAAGGAAAAACAATCGGGTTTCCTAATTAAATAACTTCAGCAAGACAACAAAAATTTTGGTCACCTATCTCATGCCTGAACTTTACGAAAGTTACTAACTACAGCGATATAGATTTCTTCTGTATTATTTTCATGAAACAATTAAAACAGCTCCGAGCCATAACACATAATTAATAAAGAGTGAAAATTGTAAGTATTGTTTAAACAACCCTTTACATACTACACAGCAGCCGATAATTTGATTTCGCTGTTCATACGTTATTAATTATACCGGTAAACACTGACAAGTGATTTATTTTCAAAGCAAAACGGAACTAATGAACTCAAATATTAATTAGAGCCGACCCAACAAAATCTATTCAATCCAAAACATCACAGGAAGTAATTTTGTCAGTGGAGACGTGACTTGTGTTGTATACATTTTATATGAGACAATTTCCTTAGATGTGCTGCTTAAAATTGTATGAAATCTACAAAGTTTTGTTATAAACGCAATTTAACCTTATGATTTCCTTAATATTTAGATAAAAAAATATAACATGCCTTCGTAGAAATGTTCATAAGAATGCCTATTGGAAACCGGGAAAGAATCTCTTGAAAGCAAAACTGATTAGAATGTTATATATAATAAAACAAAAGAACCGAAATCAACTGAAGCAATATGAATATAAGTTGGTTGAGAAAGATTTTTGTCATCAAATTTTGAAATGATATGAAATTATACTTTATTCAAATTGACTTATTGATAGTTCTTTTGATTCGTCCAATATTTTTTCCTACCACCCATTCAGGACATCTTTCAACTGATGAGAAGAATGGTCGTCGAACCCGTTCACGAGCATGACGCATGAACCAGCCGTCGCTTTTCTGAACCATTTTTTAGGGAACGTAACGACTCGCCTCACACGACACCACCGAATAGATTTTTAAGAGAGCTTGACTACTTAGAACCACCTATACTAAATTGCAACATAATATATATAACTAAAATTAAAGTCATTTATCTGCAAATAAATTAAAAATAAAAGTTAATACAAGGGAAGGTTCACAAATAAATCGAAATTAATATTAAACTATCTTACTCATAAACAAAAACTTTTTATTTGTTAAATCAGCTCTCGTAAAAATTAAGATTTTCTCATCATGGCATCAAAAATCTCGGAATTTGTGCTTTCGATGATTGAAAATTGCAATTATTTATGTTTCGCCATCCAGCTAACCAATCTTGATTAATAGTTATCTTTCATTATATTTGTCGAAATCATAACACTCCATATTTCCCTATCAATCATTTACTTTACTTATATAAAGATACTTATATATTACAAATAAGCACGATAATGATAAAAGTGAGTACATGACTTCACGTACAATATTGCTGCGAGACGCTCCTAGAGATGTCAAAGGGAATGACAGCACATCCCTCCACTCCCGCATTATGAGAGGAGGCAATCTACACGAGTGCATCGAAGTATTAAAGTATTAATTTTATGTGGAGTATGGAGGCAAACTGCTACTTACGTGGTGATGACTTAGACTTGAATAATAAAGACATTTTAACCCGCATGGGCTAATCTTGGAAACAAGATTAATCTGACTTACAAAATTGCAAGACAGGTCTTGTCATTAAGGAAATAAAAATAAGCATTGGTGTGGTGTGGCAGTTTATAACTGCTGTACCAGCTATCTTCGCGTTTGGACTTTATCACCACTTAATATCAGATGGGGAAGAGTAATTTGCCTACCTGACTATACAGGCTGGTTCAATTAGTGACGTCAACAATTTTTTCAGATTCGTCACACCTGGGGGTATCCTAAAATACCCTATTTATGTTCCGCGATTTTTCTTAGTTTTTTTTTGTGTATTTTTAATGATTTCTGCCAGTGAGCTTACAAAAATTTATATCTTTTTTCGTAGTAGGTATTATGCAGTTTTTTTTGTGACATGTCTTGAACATTGTTTTAATAAAAAAAATAACTTAGCTTTCTGAAATTACTTAAAAATACTCAAAAAAGGCTTGAAAGTTGGTACTTTAATTTTTAGTAGGATTTACTCATACATTCAACTTAAATTTAAAAATACAAAAATAAGTTTCCATAGCTTCTGGCTAAGTTTATAAACTCCGCAAGCTTTTGAACTACCAAACATCATAAAAAAAATAGTAATTAGTCAGCCTATTTTTGTCTTATTTGGCCTTCGAAGGCGGATAGGCTAAAATCATTGAAACACGATTCAAGCTTTAAAAACTATTTTATCTACTTTTTATCATTGATATGGTAAATTAAACTTAAAAAAAATATTTCAACTTAAATTTAACTGAAATTCCTATAAAATAACTTTAGCATGTGCAATTTTATAATAATTTCGGTTTGGCCACTAAGGTTTTATATGTGAGAAAGAATAAAAATCAACTCAAGCTAAACTCCTTCCTCCAAATCAAAAACGCAATTGACAACGTCTTAAAAAATTTTGAAACCTCTCTGGCAGTAATCATTAAAAATACACAAAAAAAATATAATTCGAAAACTAAGAAAAATCGCCGAACATACATTACATAGGGTATTTTCGGATACCCCCAGCCCCCAGGTACGGTAACCTAAAAAAATTGTTAACGTCACTAATTGGACCATCCTGTATATATTTATATATAAACATATTTTAATGTTTAATAATTACAGTGTTTCTGTTACATTAATTGAACTATGAGTAATATATAGTTATAGTGTAATGATTGCTTAAACAGTTCTTAATAATTTGATTGTGAATGTGAGTAGTATAAAATGTATTCAATATTTAGCATTCTGTCTCTTTGTTCCCAAGACTACCTATACGCTTCGCTGTACACCGCTTTGGGCCCACAATGACCTTCTCTCTCGCTTAGATGAGACAGTAAGAGTAGCTTTAAATAGCATATTCAATTGTCCTTTGAATGATAGGTGCTGGGCCCAAGTAACCTTGCCGATTCGCCATGGTGGTCTGGGAATACGAAAAATTTCAAGTGTAGCACTGCCAGCCTTCCTGTCCTCAGTTTATAGCACGGTTAACCTCGTTGGTAGCATACTAGGCCCGTCGTTCTGCGGCGTAGAGGTTGCCTGTTTGGCCGAGGCCAGGGATACCTGGCTCAGTACAACCGGTCCGGACCTACCCCTGAACCTGGCTTCGCAGCGGCAGTGGGATGAGCCACTCTGCATGAAGACCCGAACTCAACTGTTAGAGTCTTCAGAAAACGAAGCGGAGCGGTCTCGTCTCTTGGCCAGTTGTGAGCCAGAGTCAGGTTAAATGCCATTCCATCCCTTAGCGTAGGTACCCTTTTGGAGAGGACGACATTTAGTTTGGCGGTGAGCCTACGGCTAGGGGCCCGGACTAACGAACCTCATCGCTGTCATTGTGGGATAGACGTCGATCCTCTAGGTCATCACGGTTTAGCATGTCGTCGTAGTGCAGGACGCATTCCGCGTCATGGCGTCTTAAATGACGTCATCCTTCGCGCCCTTGCCTCTTCCGGGGTGCCAGCAGTGCTTGAACCTAATGGCATCGCCCGGGACGATGGCAAGAGGCCCGATGGTATGACGCTCATCCCGTGGAAAAACGGGCGGTCACTCGTGTGGGATGCCACATGCGTGGACACTGTTGCCATGGCCACATGGCCACATGCCACTGGCCATTCAACGGGGAAATGCCGCTAGCCTCTTGGGCACCCTACCCTGCGAGCGCAGCGATTTGGGGTCGATTTTTTATATAATATAGTTTAGATTTAAACATCTAGCAGTTAAATGCTTAAAAAATAAATAAAATCATAATATAGTTTTATTTTTAGTTTGATATAAGTATTTAGTTTATTTAGTAGTTTTAATCCATTTTGTGCTCGTAAATAATATATTACAAAAAATAATATAAATAATAGGTAAACTTAGATAGATTCATAAATAAAAGGTAAACTTAAAATGGTCAATTGTAAACATTCTTAGCTAAAAAGAATACAAGATAAAAGTTTGATCTCACCTATTCCGCAAAGAAAAAGTGCTTAACCTTACGATAGTGGCTTCGTCACTGAGCTTAGGAATGACCCAATTACCTTTTAGTGACTGTCAAGTATCGATAAAAAAATATCGCTCTCTATACACCTAAGGTGTGTGCGAAGCAAGGTGTGCCAAATGGTAAGGGTGAATAAAAACCATTAGTATCTTATGTTTACCAAATCAACTATTGATTTTCGGCCAGGAGTCAGAAGCAGATATGAAAAAATTGCTGGCATACGAACCAACTTTTGTTTTTTCCACGACAAATCAATAGAATTTTACCCTAGTTGTAACAAATCAGAGAAGCATGCACAATTACACATTATCATCTGTATTGATACTGCATAAACCAGTATTTTTTTAGTTTTGAAGAAAACAGCGTACTGAAGATATAATTATTATTATCATTTCATTTAAATAAAAAAAAGATAGCAAAACAGAAGGAATGGGCGACAAATAAATAAAACCTTTAATACAATACGTGGCTTTGTAAAGAGATGTGGCCCTATTGTTCTGCTCTATAGAACCCCATTCACAATAGAAATCGGTCACCTATGAAACGGACGTTTATTAATACTGACGAAAAATACAAGCCAATGAAACAAACTATTCAGCGTTTAGTTGTTATAATAACTGAAGCTTCAATAAAACTGTGTTGTTTTATATTTTGTAGAAAATTATCACAGTAGGGCCTCGTTACCCGATACATTTCTCTTCTCAAACCTACATAAAAATTGATACCTATTTAAGTTAAATTATTATAATCGATGAAAATATTTTTCTCTAAAGTTCTGAGATTAATCTTATGGAATCTAAAAATATGTTAGTACATTAGCTGTGGGCTGAGTTGAAAGTGATTAACGACCATCGTCTATTCATCGGTCGGGTTATGCCGCCATTTCGTCACATGAATAGCATGAAAATATAAAATGCGCCATCCATCCATCCAAGTATTTTTTTACTGAAACTGATGTAATGTCAATGTGAATTTTTGAGAGTATTTTTTTTTTATTACAAGGAAATTTATCTTCAATGTTAAGCTCTTTGTATGGAAAGACATTCTTTCTTTTCTTTACTATCCCAACCCAGTATTAACAGAAGAATATTTCTGAAACAAGCATATTAATAAGACATGGCTAATGGTGGACGACGTGCTTTGTTTGCTATTTCGTGGAATTCTAGAAACCTTGCTCATATCAGGAACTGACCAATATGAATATTACTGCAGTCTCCTGTGAACGTCGGTTACATGCCTGACATGCACTACAGTTCAAGAAAATGCTGCTGCGCTCTAGGTATCTGTTTTAAATATTTAATACAAGAATTCCATGTCTCGTAGCGTAGTGGAGCAGTTTTTCTTCACAAATATTCCGTCGAATTCTGAATTTACTAAATTAGTTATCATAAATGTTTCTATGATCTGATCATTAATTCGTTAACTTGCTATAGAAAACTACGAGTACAAACTTTTTAAGAAATGAAAACTTCAGACCCAGCCTTGATATTTTTCTCGTATCACTCGTATTTAACCGCTTCGAATGAGATTGCAGGCGAGACCAAATATCAAACATAATTGGCCCTTATATTAAACACTAGCTTTTGCCCGCGACTTCGTCCGCGTTTTCGTCGTTTTTCGTAAAAAAGTAGCATATGTCCTTCCTCAGGGTTCCGTGGTTTTGATGTGACAGACAGATTAACTTTCGTATTTTAGTAGGGAAATATAATATGTCAATCTACAATACTGTTAAAAATATCGCAATAATACCGCAGAATATTATTATTATCACTGTGCCCCGAGATCATCAGCGTGTAACTCCTTGTATGTTATTATGTTAATGTATTGGTAATATTGTTTAGATCGCTTTCACATGAGTCTTAAGTACATATAAAATGAAAATACTTCAGCGCAAAGCTTCCGGGTAAACTACGTTGAAATTTGACCCGTCCGGCACGTGAACATAAAAAAATCTAGGACTGCTAACCCGGGAAAGACCGACATAACTGACCAAGTGAAAAACAACTGACACCGAGATCTACTCCAACAACACGAAAAGTCTGCCCTTGAGCCTTTTTTATTGTCATTGCATAACACATCGATACTGGGAATTGCGTTCATTTAAATTGGAATTGAAAATTATTTGGTACTAGCTTTTGCCCGCGACTTCGTCCGCGTTATCGTCGTTTTTCGTAAAAAAGTAGCATATGTCCTTCCTCAGGGTTCCGTGGTTTTGATGTGACAGACAGATTAACTTTCGTATTTTAGTAGGGAAATATAATACTGTTAAAAATATCGCAATAAGGAACCGCAGAATATTATTATTATCACTGTGCCCCGAGACCATCAGCGTGTAACTCCTTGTATGTTATTATGTTAATGTATTGGTAATATTGTTTAGATCGATTTCACATGAGTCTTAAGTACATATAAAATGAAAATACTTCAGCGCAAAGCTTCCGGGTAGACTACGTTGAAATTTGACCCGTCCGGAACGTGAACATAAAAAATTCTAGAACTGCTAACCCGGGAAAGACCGACATAACTGACCATATGAAAAACAACTGACACCGAGATCTACTCCAACAACACGAAAGGTCTGTCCTTGAGCCTTATTTATTGTCATTGCATAACACACCGATACTGGGAATTGCGTTCTTTTAAATTGGAATGGAAAATTATTTGGTATTATGGGAATTCTGGGAATAAAGATGGTTTCTCCTGCACCGCAACCTATTAAAATTTGAGCCTCGATTACATTTTGTTCAAACTGGGTTACTTTAAGCCGAGTTCCATTGCAAATTTGTGGTGGTCTTAAATTTCGGAGCAGAATAATCGGAATGCCAATTTTTAAACAAATTTCATGAGAAGGAAGTACGGGCATATTTAAAGAATTTAAAAATTCTATCGGGTAATTAGTGGCTTCTTGTTCATCGGCCATTCTATTTATTGAACTATAAACTTTGCTTTCCCCCTGGATATTCGACAGTATTTTATTATTAATCTCAGATGCCTGGTCATTGTGAGGAGTTAAAATGGACCTTTCGCATAGCCAAGAATTGTTCTTATTTAATATATTTGTTACGTCACCGTAAACTGACGATGTAAGATGTTGTTGGGATTGCACTATACAACATAACTCAGGCGTCAGAATAAGTTTTCCTTGGTGTAGCAGTGGATAGGTATCTTTGGTGAAGGTATTTTCTTTAATAATATATCAGAAAATTCACGATCATCCGGGTTATCTACAGTTCTCACTCGCATGTTTATAGTCAAATGCACCGATTGTATATCACGCCACAAATAAGAGCTTTTCAGGCAAGCCCTAACCTCAGCAGCTCGGGTTCCCCGTGGTATTACCGTTAAGGTTTGTCGGAAATCACCACAAAATAAAACTGTGATACCGCCCATGGGTCGATCATTTTGTCTTATATCTCTTAAAGTTCTGTCTACCGCTTCTGCTCCTTTTCGATGGGCCATCGTACATTCATCCTATATGATTAAATTACACTTTGAACGAATATTTAAACACTACCAAAACAACTAATACGTGGTCCTAACTTTAGCTACCTTACACATAAAATCTAAGTGACTATTTGAATTAAAATATTCTTATAGAATTATAACCAGAAATATATACAACTCACAACAAAAAAGAAATGAAAATAAAGCTGAAACGCCTGTGCAATACTATCTAGGTACCTATACCTCCTTCACTTAAAAATAAATACTTATAACTACTTTAATTAATAAAAGTACCTACGCTTAATAATTTTTAATTTGAACGAATATTTAAACACTACCAAAACAACTAATACCTGTTTTACAACATAACAACAAAAGAAATTCAAATAAACTATTTAAAGACTAAAAGTCGCGCTGATAAGCACGGTTTCGGTCTCCCAGGCGGGGGAGCAGATGAGAAATCCTCATGGATACCCTACAGCCGGCTGCAAGGTTATGTCAGACTCGTACTGACTAAAAAACACCCGTAGGGGCTGCCTCTGGCCGGGAAGGCCTCTAAGGCTTCATCGGAAGCGATCGTCCTCCAGGGGGGGGGGGGGGGGGAGCGACGCAGAAAACAGATTTAGACGGCTCGCTCTCGGACCTCCCGCCTTTTGATACCCTACCGTTGCCGCGACCCGTGTCGAGCGCGGCAACCGTTACACAAAAATAATCCTTATAGCATGATTCAGTATTCACGTGCCACGGCGCGATGGCTTATTTCATGTATAAGTTTGGTGTTTCTATACCTTTTCTAAAATTAGGAATGAGTCAGAGTATTATAAACGAAATAGTAAACAAATATGATCAGAATGCTCCGAACTGCTAAGCTATCGGGAGTTACACGTGTTATTGTGAGTCAACCATAAAAGATAGACATATGCTGTTGCGGGATATTTTTTAGACAATTTTATGTAGAATATTTCCGTCATACATGATTTCTATTTAACTCTAATCATTAAGGCTGCACACGCGACGGAAGCTTAAAAAATGGAGTAACTTCTCCCGTTTTCCCAACATTTCCCTCTGCTCCTATTGATTGTAGCTTGATGAAAAGTATACTATAACCTGCCCAGGAGTATGAAGAATAATTGTACCAAGTTTCGTTAAAATCCGTCGAGTAGTTTTTGTTTCTATAAAGAACATACACACAGACAGACAGACAGACAAAAATTTACTGATTGCATTTTTGGCATCAGTATCGATCATTAATCACCCCCTGATAGTTATTTTAAAAATATATTTCGTGTACAGAATTGACATCTCTACAGATTCATTATAAGTATAGATAATGTGAATAATTTACCTGCAGTATATACTAATCATCACGATACAGGGCAGGATGAATGATATACAGCTGGACACGACAGCGTAGGTCGGTGTCAGGACGAGGGCGCAAGTGGGGTATCTCGGGGGCCTCTGCGTCGCTAAGGCCTCTTCATCCGGGCGGTGGAGGCCTAAAGATATAGGCAGGAAGCTAACGAGGGCCGCTAGCAGCCAAATCATGGCTATAGTGATGATGGCCACCCGCCTTGTCACCCAGCGGCCGTATCTAGAACAAAAAGAGTCTTATTTACAAGTTTTGAAACAAGTAGTGTAAAATAGTTCTTCCAATGCTGTTATGAGTTATTGTATTAGACTCTTTATTACTAACACATACAAAATTAAAGATTTTTTTCTATAATATATAATAAAGTATGGTGGGTAAATGTTACGACATTTATCAAAACTATTGTAAAGCAAGTAGTTGGTTCAGAGGTGTAATGAGTCTTGATAAATACGAGTTCGTTGCAAAGGTTCTTAAGTAGTAGGTAGTAGAGCTAGAGATTATAGTAATAACCAGACGAGAGTCATCACATGAATCAAAGTCAAAGGAACGCCCGTGTGCCTCAAATTTGCAGTGATAGAAAAATTCTATTATAAACGAGCGTTCCCGCGTTCTTGTAAAAAGATGATTTTCGTGTCGCTGTTTAGATGAACGTGCATTTAGTGAACTTTGCCTAAACAAACTGGTGTTGAGCACTCCCTGAGATTAATGTATGTTAACGCTCGTCATTGAAAACTTAATATAAAACGCGGCCTAACGCGCCTTTGTGATTAATAATTTTATATTTATACTTGCTTAGTACACAAAAATTCAAACTATAATTCGACTCGACATTTCAAATATGATTTATTATATTAGCACGAAGAATTTTTAAATAGCACAGCATAGCAACAACAAGACACAGCATAGCAACAGCAAAGTATAGGTACATTTTTTTATAAGAATCTCGTTAAATGTTTTTGGCGAGATACATCATCTCAGACACGAGCTGTTGCGAGGTTTGGATAAAAAAAATATGAACATTTTATACCAGATAGACCGTGTTGAATGCGAGACGTGCCATAGTCGCACTGTTCGTGAGATTTAAAAATCTAGTACTCCAGGCGTCCTTCCCACTAAAAGTTTACTGAAGCGAAAGCACGTTCCGAAAATGATTTAGTTTTTTTTCAAATTGCTTAATATTTCAATAGGGTTTTGCTTATATTTAAACTTTATTCAGGTTAAGGCTACATTGCTTTTCCAAGTATATCCGAAATCATATGTTTTATGGACATCATAAAATAAAAACTAACATACAATCGAGACAATGAAGCTTGTATTCTGCATTGATCTCAACGGTAATAGAATCCTGTCGTTCTTAGAATAGGTAGGATTTATTAACACACAGCAGTTGGAAACAGAATAAAGATGCGAAAGAAGCAATATACTAAAATTTTATTTTATTTTGTCTGAGGTCCTACCGCGCTGAGAACTGTTATTACTCTACAAAAGAATGACGAAAAAGTACTTATTTTTCAATGAACGTTAAATTAAAACAGATTTTATATTTAATACGCAGCAGAATTCCGTGACAAAAAGAATTTTTGACGAGATTTACCTACTACCTGTTTCGCAGGAAACGAGAATGCAGTCCAATTATTTTGGATTGTAAACGTATTTCAAACGGCCTTTGTTATAGGTTCACGTATAAAGGCTGCCACATACCGAGCACATCTTTTCATTTTATTTGAAATCCTGTTTTACACGTTAGTACCCACCAATCCAAAGTACGTTTGCATGTAGTGGATCATGGCTCATTCTTTTTTGTCCTCCATCGGCAACGCATGTCCCTTTAATTATTCATCATCAACCTATTAAAGTCCTCGCAGCTGGGCCACAGGCCTTCCCTGGACGTAATAGGGAGATTGGGCCACGACCTACCACACAGGCCCAGTGCGAATTAGTGGGTGCTAAAGACGACTAACGCCTTAACATATGTATTCCGGAAGCACGGACGAGCTAGAGATAAGAAGCAGATTCAAGAAGTAAAATTTGTTTACCAATTCAATAACCGGCCAAAGCGCAAATTGCTTCTATGCTGATAATATACTGTAAAAATTTACCCAAACAGGAAACATTCAACTCACAGATAATGATTTTTACTGATGTTCATCATACCACATATGAGAAGCTTTAAAATGATTTTAATATTGGTTCGTACTAGGGGTGCAGTAAAGTACCCCTAGTACGAACCAATATCGATTTCGATTAGTTTGGGAGTACGAAATGTCATTGCCAAAATTTGTATGTAAATTTGAGAAGCAGCGCTATAACGGACGTAATGAGAACTAAAAATCAGTACATATTTGACAATGATATTTCGCACTTGCAAACTATTCGAATTCGATATTGGTTCGTGCTAAGGGTACTGTACTCTGTATTTGAATCTATATGTAATGGGGTCCCAATATGCCTCCGACTTTATAGCACGTTGCCCATTAAGCTATCATAATTTTAATAAATTAAAAATTTCAACGTCGATGCTGTTGTAAATTACTGATGGGTATCGTTTGCATATGAAATACAAAACACCTTTTGTTATCAATAATTTCGCGTTACTAAAGAACAAATTCCACTGAAACTTTTTAAAGGAATTAAAATTTTGTGTCTGAGTTGAGGTAACAACGTATTCTCATAATTGTTATCTCGAGTGAGGTGAATGGTATAAATTTAGTCATGAACCATTTTAAAACAACATTTATATACACATTAGTAAAACAACTTAAATGAGGGTTTAATTAACCAAAAAGTAATTGGAGTACTTACTTGAATTTCAATTTTTGTCTATAAAGTTTTACCTTAATGGATCTTTGATGTGTATATATCTGTCCAAGGAGATGGCGCACAGGTTTAGTATTGATGCTGTTGAGCACATGACGTCACAAGCTACCCAAGTGTCGCAGAACTGCTCTCCGAAAACCCAGTATCTAAAACAAAAAAAACAAATTGAAATGGAAAGAAATAATTGATTTACTATCGAAAAAATAGAGAACCTACCCATTCGGCATTGGTCTGTAAATAACACCTAAGGCCACTACAAAAATTCTGAATTCTGTTTCAGACAGCCAGTTAATAACTCCATCAAAGAGTTTACCTTCCATTCTAACTGGGTCGAATTTATGTAGGACACTTTGTATATAGTGTTACATAGAGTACAATATTGGTCATGGTTTTAACAAATTTGTTCATCAGAATTCAGCTGTTCTATAGAGTTGGGTAACATAATAAAATTATACAAAGTACAATAATTAATTTTCTAATACTTAATTAAAACTTATGTGAATATTGAGATATGAAGAGAGTGGAAGAGACGGCTGATATACAAGTAGCGCCGATTTCTGATTAAATTAGAACCAAATTAAAGAGAAGTTTATTATATTAAAGATCAATATGAAATAACATTGTAAAAGAAAATTCTGAGGATAAAAGAAGAATTATGAATTTACTTATAACTATAAACCGTGAATTTTGAGTTACCTGAGAAACTTTACTAGCTAATTCAGACACCAATTTTGGTTGTATTTCTGCAAACAAATCTTTAACAAATTAATCAAAGTTCTATTCCTGCAAAAATATCTGGCACGGTCTGGTGTTCTGCGGCTTTTGACGTCATCTTCCTTCAGAATGCTATCAATTTGATCGTGATAGGTCAGTCTTGGCCTTCCCTGGATTCTACATACTTTCACTATCGCTGTGTGTCTGTCTCAATTATCGTGTATCTGTTTTGTCATTCTCCCAATTAGCAAATACTCATAATGTAGAAGGACGACGCTCAGTGGGCAGGGTCCCCACCAGGCGGACCGACGATATATTGAAGGTCACGGGAAGCCTATGTATGCGAGTGGCATATGGTGCCTATGCTCAGTAGTTAGTGGACATCGTATGGCTGGGATGATAATGATGAATGGACACTCACCCAAGCAGGTCGTTGACCCCGGCAAATGTCATGACGGCCGCGGCCACTAGCATATCGGCAATGGCGAGGGATGCTAGGAACAGGTTTCCTATGCGTCTCAACCCCCTGTCCGTGTAGATCGCGATGCAAACCAGGATGTTGCCAGCCACACTTAGGAATATCAGCAACGACAGGAATATACCTAGGACAGAAATGATTTTATTGATTACTAACATCTCTATAGTAAGAGCTTATATACAGTAGCAAGTTTGACAATTAGCTTATTGCTGCGAAAAGCCGGATAAAAGGTGCAATGTCAGTCATATAGTGCGTAGGACTTGACACTATTCGTATTTCTTATAGTCAAGCCCTTTTTTTAAAAAAATCTATATTTCCTCCTTTTTTTCTTCACGATTACTGATTTGACCTGTAGTTTACTTAATGAATATAGACTATAAGCAATTTATTACTTGTTCGCGCCCGCTTTTGCCGCGGCACTAATAATATTTGAGCACCATTTTGTCAGCCCTCTCTAGACCTCTTCAGTGGGCTGCCCGGCCCAGCCGCGTCACAGAACCGCAGCCCCACCATCAACCAACGAAGATAACAAAGTACCCGTATTTGGTTCTCGATACAGTTTAAAAATCCCTGTTTTAGAATTCCTTTTCAAGCTGCTCTACCGCAGTCGATTTACGGGACCTGCCGACCCGCACACTTCCCCTAGATAAAGTAAATCTAAAATTTTCACCGAATTATTAACAGTTATACAGTATACAAGAAAAAAAAATGTGTGTTTATATAAGACTGCGTTTCATTCTACTCATGTCTGTCTAGGTTTTATTTAAGATAGTTTAGTCAAAAGCCCGTGAGAGTTTGGATCAAAGCTGATCGGATAAAAACGTTTTCCGTTTCAATGAGCATTTCTTATTCCACCGTGGGAAATAAGAACATTATCTATAAATTTTCTAAACCATATAAGCTTTAAGAAACCGTCAAAACAAACATGTGGCTTATTTCAATCGAAGTTTTTCTGCCGGATAAATATATTAAAGAGATATAAAATCAGTCTTTTTTTAGTGTTTTTATTGGCTATCGAATCGAATCTCACCTACATTTTAGGTAGACAAAAAAAACTGTAGCTACAACATTCATATCTGATAGGTAATTTCCTAAACTGCGTGCAACAAAAAGGAAGAAACCGCGCGTAAAGATAAAGGTCACACAGATAAAAAAAATCTTGTACACATTCCGTATAATAACAGCACCGAGTTTCCGGTACAAGGCTGTCTTTGACACAATTTCGTAAGAAACTAAGTAACTGTCGTAAAATATCGAAATTGTATCTCGTTCAAGAGAAAACTTGACACTTGTACAAGTATAAAATACATTCAGAGAAAATGAAACAGAAATGGTGTTTTCTCTTGCGAATCGGACACGAATGACGTGTATGTCTTAGCAGTGGTCTAAATTCGAAGACATTTTCTGGCAAAATGCGAAGAAATAATTAGATTCGTAAGTTTTAGGTAGTTTGTATTAATCGTTCCCTCGTGTCGCGACCATCTAGACTTCAACATTTCATTGCTAACCTATTAGTGTTCCCACTACTAAGGTACATACAGGCCTTTTCTTAATATTAGATAAAGAGTAGGCTATAATGCACTACAGGCCCAGTGCAGACTGGTGTCCTCAATTGCAAAAGCAACAATGGTTCTAATGCGCATTTCGAAAAACGAAGGAACTCAAGCTAAAAATTTGTCCGTCACCAATTCTAAAACCAGCTATTGTATAAGTTGCTTAACGGCATTTGCTCGCAGACCAAACACGCTACACAGTGCATCATCGAGTTTCCTTTGACCCTATTTCTCTTCAAAGCTTTGAACCTCTAAAACTAAACACAACGATACAACACATCGACCGGTATAATTCACTATCGTATGGCGGTTAATGGTTTACTCTCCCCATTCTGCGTGGCCAAGTGTACTTCTGCAGTGGGGAGATTATTAGGTTGACAATGGATAAGCCAAAATGTAAACTATTCCCCTTCAATTATAATGAATGTGAGTTTATTGTCAAAAAATACAGTTACAATCAAACGTGTACATATAAATGCACATTTTTTAACCATTCAGTGTCATTATTACTTTTTAATTTCGCCACAGTTGATGCTTGGCTAGAACCACAGGAGCATTGGTCATAACGCGAGCCCAATGTGGCTTAGTGTCAACGAATTAGAAATGATAATAATAGAATTACTCTCTAAAAAAGGGCGCTAAATAAAATGGTTCCAAACTCGTACAGTCAATACCAAAGCTACTCGAACACAGACAAAACAAAATACTTTGACAAATCGAATATCTGCAAATGAATGTGGTTGTCCATTCGTTTGGTAAGAAAAAGTTAAACATTAATCCTAACCAATTACGTGATTGGCGTGTTCATCGCAATTATTTCTCGCCGACCATTTGATCGCAGTTTGGGGGAAACCACTTTTAAATGCAGTTCTTATTTTCAAAAAAAAATCCATAATTCATTGTAAATGAGAAGTAGCGCCATTAAAATAATAACGTATTTATAAAATAATATTTTCTACATATCCTCCTATTAAAAAGTTACATAATGCCTTTACTTTACAAATTAGATGTCGCTTAAGCTAAAATCATTTAATTTTGGCCCGCCATATATATGTTTTGTCAAGGAAACAAAATCATACGCCAAATAGTAGAGCGTAAGCGCCATTGGTTTATTAAACACCAAAATTTATGTCGTTTCAGCGTTGTGAACAATAAAAATCTTCAAATAATTTAGTTGCTTAGGCGCAAAAAAGTACTAAAATCTTCACGAAACTTAAACAAACAGATCGACGCTGAGAAAAAATCTGATTCAAATGATATATATCATTTCCGACCTAAGTGGCGTATAAGCGATTTTGCCTTTCCTTTATTATTCTGTAGGATGCCCTCGACTTCGCTTACTTGAAAAACGTGGGTTGCTCATTTAAACTTTTGATCCTCATTTCACCCCTTTCAAGTTTTTTTATTTGGAACAAAAAGTAGCACTTGTTCTTCTCCGAAGTACTTTAAATGGCCATGCCAAAGAACAACAGTATTGTTTCAAAATAAAGCTGCCTAAAAAGTAATTACTGACAGACAGATATATTTTCACCTTTATTATTTCAGTATGTGTATGAAGTACAAACATACCAACAAGCAGGATAGACAGTAGTGTGACGGCGTCCGGATCGTCGGCATCATCGTATTCCACTACGGTATCGTTCACCTCTAGCGCCACCTGTTGACATAAAGCATAATACTTATATATTCACAAAAAACTGAGGGTACATATAAGAACTCGCGGCGTGATTTTCACCATCTGAATGCGTGGTGGTTTTTGGCACGCGCGGTAAGCGTCCTCCGATCTTCTTTTGTAAAGTTAGGAAAGAAACTGTGGTCTCGTGAGTTTTGAAATAAAACAGCTACTTACGCGGCGGTTGCCACTAAAAACAGCTCCGTGAGTTCTTAGCCTAGGCGATAGCCGCCGTAATCATTTTCCTTAATTGCCTTGCCCTAAGATTTATAAACTGAGATTTACTTATCTACTCGGAAAAGTCAGTATTTGTATGTGTATTAAACAAAAGAGTTAAGTACAATCGAATTAGTAAAATGAAATTATGGCCATTATAAACAGACTAAGGGTTTAATTTCTCCCATCGCCCACAGATTAACGCATATGATTGGCAATCATTCGAACACCCCGCCCCCAACCACAGCTCAGGACCATTAAATTATCAAATTTAAACACCCAACGATCGCATTACGCCGTAATCCACACGTGAAACTCATTGAGCACGCTCATCGATAATCAATAACTCTTTACCCTGAGTTGGTACCGCGGTTTCGGTCTCGACACTCCATTTTACGGCCCATCAGTTTGATAGTTCGATAGTGCTTTTCGGTGTTGTGCTGGCCGATGTGGTTGGCACCCTTTAAGGAACCTAATGTCGTGTATTTTCTAACAAATGTGTTGTGTTACATGACAAGCTACAACTTTGTTTATATCTTAACTAAGTTTATCCTAACTAAGGTTTATAACAGCGTATTTTTTTTGTTACGCTTTCATACGTAAAACATTGATTCGATAAATAAAAACACTTTTTGAAAGAGTATGCTTTTAATATAACATTCTTTTAAAATTTCCTGACTTTTCGAACCTTTGCAGGTGCCGAGGTTGGCAGTTAAATTAATTAAGTGGTTTTTATTAAATAACTGGTGTGCGTGAAAACAGAAATTAATGTGTGAATCGATTAGGCTGAATTTTGCCGTGAGTAGTCGAGCCTAAAATGGATAAAATGGAGATAAAGTTTTGTATAGGAAATCAGTTAAAGCACCAGTTTAAAGGATAGGAAATGCAATTGATCCAAATAATTGATGATTCGTAAAACGGAGATAATAGGGATGACGACTAACGATTTTTTTTTCTTCGTTCATCGGGTACATTCATCATCAGCCTATTAATGTCCCCACTGCTGGGGCACAGGCCTTCCCTATGGATGGAATAGGGAGATTGGGCCACGACCCACTACGCGGGCCCAGTGCGGATTGGTGGGTGCTAACGACTGCAGATGCAGCCGGGATCAACGGCTTAACATGCCTTCCGAAGCACGAAGGAGCTCGAGATAGTAAATTTTTGGTCACCCATCCAATGACCGACCACTGCGAAAGTTGCTTAACTTCAACGATCGCAGCCGAACGCGCTAACCCCTTGCGCCATCGAGCTCCCTTGAAAGTGACGTCACGAGTCCCCACTCCCAAACTATGACGCGCTTTATCTTTATTATTTATTGGTTAACTGATAAAGAAAAAATACGTATCCATTATTTTCTCATAATCTAACTGACGGATTAAATATAATTTCGTTTTCTTTACCACGTCGTCACCCCTATAACACGAATTGAAATGAATGATATGAAAAGTTAGCAGGGAATCCTAGCGCTTTGTCAGAATATTGCCGGATAGGGGTGATTAATTTGTAATCATTATCTACTGCCATTCATTCTCCAAATACATTTGCGACCGATATAGATTAATGGAAATAATTAGCGCCGGATTTGAAGAAGGGCAGCTGGGCAAGAAGGGCAACCAGGCCCCGACAACAGAGATGAAAAGAAAACCAAATTTCACCATCCAATTGGGGTCATAACTACATTTTTTGCTAAACAGATGTGAAAACATTATTATCAAATATGAAGGAGATTTCAAGGTTTGCAATAACAAATTTTGGAGGAGCTTGATGGCGCAGGTGGTTAGCGCGTTCGGCTGCGATAGTTGAAGTTAAGCAACTTTCGCAGTGGTCTGTCATTGGATGGGTGACCAAAAGTTTAGTATCTCGAGCTCCTCCGTGCTTCGGAAGGCACGTTAAGCCGTCGGTCCCGGCTGCATCTGCAGTCGTTAGCACCTACCAATCCGCACTGGGCCCGCGTGGTGGGTCATGGCCCAATCTCCCTATTCCATCCATAGGGAAGGCCTGTGCCCCAGCAGTGGGGACATTAATAGGCTGATGATGATGAATAACAAATTAATTGTTCGATTTTAAAAAGTCACTCTTTTCTTCCATTTGTTATATTAGTTAAATCTGACAAGCTCTATTGCTTAGCATGAAACCGCTAGATTTGGCTAGAAAAATATCCTACCTGGATACCTTATCCGGTGTTTTTTTTCCTAACAAAAAGAGTTATTTAGCAAAGCTTTACTATATTTTATATTGAAGTTATATTTTAAGACATTATAGTAAGTGACTACTTACTTTGAAGTAAGCACAAGGCTAAGGCATTTTAGATGACGTCAGTAAATTTTAAGAATATGCCTGTGAAGAGTTATGGAGCAATTTCCCTAAAGTATTTCTTTTCACATGAAAAATGCCCATTTGCATATTTACGTTACGGCCACTATGTTACACGTTACGTATATTTAAAAATATCGAAATATTTTCTATATCTTGATGTATGTTACACAATCTTTATAAATATATAAAATATACTAAACTAGAGGTGCCCTGAGGTATCATGCGCAGTAATTTGAAAAAAGGTTATAGTGGGTCACCCTTAAACGGACCACTTAAGCCCAAAACACGTATAAGACAGTCACTCTTTAATAATTTATCTTTTTATGAATCTCTAAAGGATTTTTTAGCCCAAACCAGTAGTTTAAAATTATTTCACTATTTGATGAATAGTGCTCAGATGGCTACGTTGACCACAAGTTCCCCATGATGCACGAAAAATTCAGACCTATGATTTAAACAACCGTTTTGATAAAGTGTTTAATTATTTCAACGCGTTGCTGAACTGTATAAGCGATTGGTATAATAAATGGCGAACTTTCAATTATGTATCTATCAAAAAAATTCGCCCATAGATGATGAACCTATGTCCACTATACCCTATAGGCTGTCAAACATACCCTGTTCCTATTGAAAAACCCTGTACACAAAAACAGTTTTTGAACGTGTGTGAACTTACATCAGTAGGTCAAATAGAGGGGAACTCCATTTTAGCCGCGTTGCGTTCGGTACATGGCTCTTTAAATTATCATTTCGCCCATAGAGGATGAACCTATGTCCACTATATCCTATAGGCTGTCAAAGATACCCTGTTCCTATTGGAACACCCTGTACACAAAAACCCGTTTTGAACGGGTGTGAACTCACATCAGTAGGTAAAATAGAGGCGAACTCCATTTTAGCCGCATTTCATTTGGTGCATGGCTCTTTAAATTATCACCTCGCCCATAGATTATGAACCTATATCCACTATATCCTATAGGCTGTCAAAGATACTCTGTTCCTATTGGAAAACCCTGTACATAAAAACACGTTTTGAACGGGTATGTACTAACATCAGTAGGTAAAATAGAGGCGAAGTCCATTTTAGCCGTGTTGCGTTCGGTGCTTGGCTCTTTAAATTATCACTTCGCCCATAGATGATGAACCTATGTCCACTATACCCTATAGGCTGCCAAAGATACCCTGTTCCTATTGGAAAACCCTGTACACAAAAACACGTTTTGAACGGGTGTGAACTCACATCAGTAGGTAAAATAGAGGCGAACTCCATTTTAGCCGCGTTGCGTTCGGTGCATGGCTCCTCAGGTCTTCGTGTCCACCTTCAGCAGTAAGCTCTCCAGGCTGTGCAACCGCCACGCGATGTGTAGCGACGCCATCTTGTATTTACGTCACATATCTGTAACAAAATAATGAGTTGAAATAAACATTTCTATCATTCACCAATTAATTGGCTTAGCCCTACATATTAGGGTAACGGATAGAAATACATCGACAGTGGAAAAGCAAACTCACTTATACGCTATTTATTTACCTGGTTAAAAGAATACTTAAAAAGTAATAATTTTTAAGCAGCATCAAATTGGCGTATAAGCAATTTTGCTTTGCCTCTGTCAATAAAATGATACAAAAGATAAGTATATGTTTGTATAAATATACCTGTACATATAAACAGCTTATACTTTATCTTGTTTTAAACCTCCATGGTCACGGACATTATGATAATTTACTCCGTGATCATGGCGCTTGCAACAGTGCCGAAATATCGGGGACTCGCTAAAATCAATGTACATGGTAGCAATCCCGTCAATAACATAAATTACTATAAATCCATAGCAAAAGTGAAAATGCTCGTATTGTTACACGGATAATCGCAGATGGTTTTTTTGAAAAAAAATTTTAATTACACTTAAAACTTTATTTTAAGAACAATAGATAGATTTATCGGATAAAGACGTTAAAACGATCTTTAGGCAACCGCACTGAATGGACACGGACTGTCGGATACTAACCGAGGAGACTAGGGCTTGAGTTCTATAGTGCTGACCAGACATTATAGTCCGTAGGAGCAGCAATATACCTAACATATATCAGATATAACACCTCCCCCTTTAAGAGGAGACTTGGGGTTGACTCTAAGTCTCCGTTAGATTTTAGTTCTGAGTGGGGCAATAGGGCTGGTCATTTCTATTTCAGGATCATCAGGGTCTTGTCTGTCTGTTTCTGATGCTTTAGGAGCAGATTGAGATAAGGGATTATTTAGATTAAATTTAAATTGAAAAGGACGGTTGCTGCCAGATCTGCAAATTATTTACTACATCATTTAGCTTATCCAGGTTACAACAAGTGTTTATTAAATTAAAATCTAGTACATGGTTAATGGGTGAAGTGATATTTAGAATATTATATTTAGGGACTAATGTAGTACTTTTACAATATCCAGTACAATCTCTAGGGATACTAACAATACCTGTGCCTAAAATATTTATTTCATATCATTCAGAATTACGACAATCTATCAAGATTTTGTTGGGTTCTGATTGTATAAAGATCCACTTGTTATTGGACAATGGTTTCCAAATGTCCAACTTTCCAACTATAATTTTAGATTCGCACTGTAACGGTTTTTCACTGATCACTTTTGCTAAAAGTTCACTTTCACATGTCATTTTTGCACCTGTAGAATACAGGTTTTCGATGTCACAAATAAAGACTTCTGTGCTTATGGCTTTACAGATTTCCAGATTGTCGAAAGTACAATAGTGAGACTTGTCTTTGGTCATTGCAATATATTTATGATTAGGTATAATTAAACTAAACGAGTTTGGTTCTTTAGAGTTGTACGGTATACAAAGAGCAATGGTATGAAATAATACATATTCTATGGTGTTAACTAACGGCACTTGTAAAACAAATATAATCTAATTCTTAAAATAATAACAAACTAACTTAGAAATACTAAAAATAAGATACACAGGATTAATGTCTAATACAACAGGCAACTCAAAGTCGTTAGATAAATGTCTGTAGTTATCGGCAAGCTCGTGGTATAATTGATTTGGTGTTATGATTGCGGGGTGTAAAATATTTTGACTGCTGAACAAGACAGCATTGGTTATGTCTTCCAACTGGAATAACAAGGTCAGTATTGATGTTTCTAGGATATTGAGTATTTCATTTACATCAGCGCGTATTTGCAGTCCATTAGTTATTTCAGAAATATTTTTTATATTTACGGAGAGCTTGTCGATAGCTTCATTAAGGTTGGCTTCATTACTTCTTATTTTATGTAAAGTATTATAATAATATGTTAAGGTAGAACTAGTGATCAAAATATTTTCTTTCATAAGCGAAGCTAATTTCTTTTCGTTATTCTGTAATGATGTTATTGCTTCGTCATATTTTAAACCATCATCTTCGTCTAGGGAACCGAAAATCTGTTTAATGACTGTTCGTATACCTCCTATCCATGCACTACGTTTTGTTCTATTGTCTAACAGGTGAGAGATGGACGCATACTCTCATCTCATTTCTTGAGATTGTGCTGCTAATGGTTGCAACGAGTTACGGCATTCTGCATCAATCTCTATAATCGGGGTTTGTTTACATAATTGCTTTGTAATTTCAAATATGGCTTCGATATTTTGTATATGTAGCTTAAAATGTGAGATATCTACTGGTATTACAATTTTTAACTGTCCATTATTTATTCTAAGTTTTCCTAAGTAATAATAGTAGAGGCCTGAACTTGAGGTAATCGGCTGGATAAAATCTTGGTGAGATTGACTTCGAGTTAAACTGTAAATAATAATTTTAAGACTATTAAATAACCTAAAGGTAAGTATTCTATTCTAACTAATACACTATTTTTTTTTATTTTACTAAACTATCTTATATTTCTAAGTATGTTATATTCATGTTTTTATTTTTATAGGTTGTATGGGCAAGTCGTCGTGTAAACAAAACCCATATCTAAGGTAAGTATAATATTATTTCTTAAAATTTATTTATACTATTTACTAATTCTATAATATCTATTTACAGATTCATTACGACATCCGCCAGCTTCACCTGATCGAAGTGATGGGTGATGAAACGTCGATTAATAAGTAAGGTAAGTGTATTATTATCATTAATTTTTACTACTTAGTAGGGTCCTTTCCAAAGAGGTGAAAGGGCCTTACGCATTCTTAAATGGTTTTTAACATAGACATAATCGCCAGTTTTATATTTCCTCAGGCGACTATGAGTGTCGTAATAAGATTTGGAGGATTCTTTGGATTGCCTTATGTAATCTAAAGCTTTCTCCCGAGAATGTTTTAATCTGTTTTGGAGCATTCGCACATAATCAGGGTATGTGACTCCTGGTGATTCTTCGTAAATAGAGTTTGGAATTACTGGTTTACTTCCGATCATTAGTTCGTAGGGTGTGAAGTGAGTTGTTGAATGAACTATCGTATTATGTAGATATATGTAGATTTATCAAAATGGTAGACTTTGAAAAAGAGCAGGTAATAGGACCTACTTTCATGTGTAAAGGTGAGGAAGGAATTAACTGTTCTTTCTTTTTCTATAATTTCGGATTTGTTAGGTGTTTTATCGAGAACTTCCTGTACGAAGCGATTAGATTCATCAAGATCGATGGAGGTAGGTAAAATTATGATTTTACAGTGAGATTTTGTTATGTTTTCGTTGTGTTCCTGGATTAAAGTATTAAAAGATTTGTCTTTGCTGGTCATTGTTTTTAGGAAAGTGCGATAGTCATCGTCAGGTAGATCTAAATGAACGTCTGTGGATGGTGTTGGTGCGACACTAGGTTGAGTTGTTTGTTGTTTTGCTTTCCAGCGTATCAGAATCGTTAGGTTGAGAACTTGTGCCAGGTTCAGGAAGTGTTAAATCATGAGGACTAGGAATCAGTGGATCCACTCCAGGTAAAGGTAAAATTTCTTTATTAAGATCCAGAGGATCTGGTGAGTTTATTTCATCTGGATCGAATGATGGGGGATATACCAGCAAGTCCATTAGGTCCTTGTCTAGTTCTTGATTGGATTCTTGGATTTGATCGTTTTTGGGTATGTTTTCGGAAATTGGTTGAATAGAATTCACCGGGTAACATGAGAGGGCGTCGGCATTTGTATTTATTTTGCCCTTCTTGTAGTGAATGTCATACTCGAATTCTTCTAATTTTAAGCGCAAACGGATCAGTCTCGATCCAGGGTCCTTAGAATTGAAAAGCCACTGTATTGGTTTGTGGTCTGATAGGATTTTGAATTTATTACCATATAAATATGGCCGAAAAACTTTAGTTCCAAAGACGATTGCTAAGCATTCCTTTTCAGTGACGCTATAGTTACATTCTGCTTTATTCAGAGTGCGGGAAGCAAAGGCAATAGGGCGATCGCGGCCTACTTGACCTTGGGATAGAATAGCCAAAATAGCGTGATTCGAAGCGTCGCATGTCAAAAGAAAAGGTTGAGTGAAATCTGGATACGCGAGTACTGGAGCGGTAACTAGTTTTTCGTTGATGGTTTCGAATGCAAGCTGTTGTTCATTTTTCCAGTTAAATGGAACGTCTTTCTTTAAAAGAGATGTGAGAGGTTTTGCTAATTTGGAAAAGTTATCAATAAATCGTCTGTAATAGGGTACGAGTCCAAGGAATGATTTAATATCTTTGGGATTTTGAGGAATTGGGTATTCAGAAACAGCTTTAATCTTTTCAGGATTTGGTTGTACACCATTTTCATTGATAATGTGGCCCAGGTAAGGTACTTCCTTACGTAGAAATTCACACTTATCTGGCTGTAATTTTAGATTAAAATTTCTGAGTCTTTCAAACACATTTTTGAGGTTCTGATCTGGGATCTGAGATCGTAGCTATAAATCACTACGTCATCTAAATATACATAGAATCTGTTGCCCTGAAGGCCTAAGAGACATGTGTTCATAAGTTTTTGAAACGTAGAAGGGGCATTCTTAAGGCCAAATGGCATTCTATCAAATTGGAAGTGTCCCTGAGAGACGGAAAAAGCTGTTTTTGGTGCGTCTTCTGGGTTCATTAGGATTTGATGGAAACCGGAAGTAAGATCGAGGGTACTGAAATATTTACTATTTCGTAAGTCTCTCCGATTGTGATATTGTTTAATTTCCGGTAGTCAATAACTATTCTCCATTTTCGTTGTCCTTGGGCATCTAGCTTCTTCGGTACAACCCAAATGGGAGAGCTCCATGGAGCTGAAGAAGGTTCAATAATGTTCTGATCAAGCATTTTGTTAATTTGGGTTTCTACTTCCTTCTTGTGGCACTCTGGGAATCGATAGGATTTTGTATGGATGGGAACATCTATATTAGTTTTAATTTTATGATCAATCGCTGTAGTATAAGTTAATTCATCGTTGGGGA